TCATGGGATGATGCTGCATGAAGGTGCTCAACAGATAGCCTCTTGGTAACTGACTTCCCAGTTTCTAGAACTGTAAGAAATATTTTCTTTAAAAATTACCAAAGATAGGGACCAGCAGTTGGCATAATGGCTATGTCAATGGATTCTCATGTAGTAGGCAGCGATTTGAGTCCTGGACCTGGTGGCTTAAACTCATGCCAGGCACGTGTGCGTGCATGCCCAAAATCCTGAGAGGAGAATGGAGGAAAAGGGATTGTGGCGTGGCCATCCCCCCTGGGGGGGTGGGGGGGGTGATTTCTGGCTCTGTCTCTGTCCTTTCTGGCGAGCATACGTGCCCTATAGCAAAAACCTTTCAAAATAAATCCAACTTTTAAAAAAATTACCAAAGGTAATAGTTACCGGGGCTGGCAGGTGGCATGGTGGTTAAGGGCACTGTGCTCCCACATGGCTGACCATGGTTCAAGTACCAGAATTGGCAGCTTGCTTTCTCACTTCCTGCCCCCTACCCCTCTTGCTATGTACCTCTCTGGTGAAATTAAAATAAATAAATAAAATTAAATAAAAATAATTCTTTTTTAAAAAAAGGTAAGTTATCTGAAACCACAGTAATCTTTGAAAAATGTAAAGGTCAGAATCAGCAGGTGGTATGGACTGACCATGTTTCAAGACCCACAACTGGCACCTTTTTCACGTTCCCTCTCTCACTCACTGTCTCTTTCTGGTAAGTGCACATATCCTATATCAAATAATAATAATACTTTTTATAAATGTAAGGTTTACTCTCTTGACATCTGACTTCCTGTCTCACTTAGAAAAAAAATCCAAATTTTTATTACTATTTAACTTGCTAGAGGGCACATGTACTCACCTAACAGAGAGAGGCGATAGTGAGAAAGCAGCCCTCTCTTTGGTGCATACAATCCCTTCTTAATTCTCTTTTAAGGATTCTGGGCACAAATACAAATGCACCCAGTGTGTTTTCAAGCTGCTGGGTCCAGGACTCCAGCCAGATAGGATCCAGCTACTTTAACCACCATGCCAAAGGCTGGCCCCCCAATTCAAACTCTTTACCATTAATTTATGAATTCCTGCTTGGATTAACTTATGAATTCCTGCTTGATACAGTCTATCACACGCATTGTCTCTTCATTCCCACCCCTCAAGCACAATGCTCCAGACATAGTCTTCGTTCAGATGTTAGAACACCCTTGCTCACTTCTCACCTACAGTATTTGTACTAGCTGTTTATTGGGTCTAAAAAATCTTCGAAAAAAGACTTTTACAATTCAGAAGTTAAATTTCATCTCCTTAGAGATTTATCTAACCATCATTCTAAATTAGCTGCACAGTTATTCTTCACAGAATTACCATATTTTTCTATGTGACACTCATCTATGTATCTTATTAAAATTTCTTTCTCCTTGATTGCTTTCTGTCTCCTCTTACCAAAATTTCCATGAGAAAGCACTTGGTATATACATGTGCTCTCTGGTCAATCTTTAGGAAATGAATGACTTTATATTTAATGTTTTTCTTTTTCAAGTTTAAGAGTTAATACAATTTTATACAGAATTTAAATAATACTTTAGTTAGCAGACCACAGTACTCCAATTCGTCAACCAGAGTTCAAATTCAGCTTTTTTTTTTTTTTTTTTTGGAGAGGTTTTTGCTATAGGCCGCGTTTGCTCACCAGACAGACAGAGAGAGACAGAGAAATAGAAAGCGAGAAATCATCAGGGGGGTGGTGGGGGGGATGGCCAAGTTGCAATCCCTTCTCTTCCATTCTCCTCTCAGGATCTTGGGCACGCACGCACACGCGCCCAGCCTGAGTTTGAGCCAGCAGGTCCGGGACGCAAACCACAGCCGACTACGTGGGAGTCCTGCGACATAGCCATTACGCTAACTGCTGGTTTCCCAAATTCAGCTTCTTCAGCAAACAATTGTCGATGCATGGCTCTAACCAAGGTCTTCGATATTCCTGTTTCCTTACTTGCATAAAGGGAATATTACTTCATAAGATTAAACCCTGCAACATAGGAAAAGGTGCTTCAGCACTCAACGAAATTTTCCCAGTATTACACATAAACCCTGTCTACTTCTTGCCCTAGGTGTCAACGTTTCAAGGTCCTACCAATCCGTCCGAAAGCAAACCATCGCGCGCGCCACTACCGCCTTCTCTACCGTATGCAGGGGCAGCCGGGAAGCAGGGGAGGACCGGGAGGTCACGACGCACACTTCCGCCCCCGCGATCCTCGCAGCCAATCGGCCTCTGCTGCCCCGCCCCTTCCGCTCTGGGAGAAAACGGGCCCCAGAGCGTCTTCCGGCGGGAGCTGTGCGGCTCCTTATCATGGTGAGTTGGCCGGGGACTGAGGGTTTCTGCTGCAGGGGATTCCTGTTATTTTCTCCGGTCGCGAAGCAGCCTTGAAATGCCTCTGCCACCCAGAGGACTGGTGGTCGGCCCCGCCCCCCCCCCGGGAGAAGCGGCTTCGCCCGAAGGGGCCCCCTTAGAGCTCTGGTCCCCTTCGGTCTCTGACCCCTTTCTTTTGCTGCTCGGTATCCCAGTCCCGCACCAGACCGAGCTCTCAGCTCCTGACACGTTAGAGTTAACGAGTTCTCCCCACCGAGATTTCCTTGATGTAGAAATAAAAGTCTTTGCCGCCGTCAGCGAGCATCACCTACAAAAATGAATCTGAAAACAAGCCCACAGGACCTACGACCGTACTAGTCAAGCTGAGAGCAGATACGGTAACTTAGCCAGCGGAAATAAGGTTATAAGTAGGGGGTTTAAGCGGACCCCGCGCTCTGTAACCTGGCTTGATTGACTGGCAAGTGGCCTGGTATGGCAGCAAGTTTCCTAAGGGCATTGACTTCAGAAAGTCAAGGTGTTGACAGGACATCTTATTGCTGCTTTATTTTTGCGTTTGTAGAAACCAGAAGGTCCCAGTACGCGTTGTGGCTTTTGGAATGTGGTGGTTTCTCTAAAATTTGCGGGAGGAATTATTTTATGCCTGTAGAAATCAAGTATATAACTCTGGATTTTAGCTACAGATAAGGAGTCAGTTGTGATATCAGATGTCAAAGTGGTGTGCGCCTTTTGAAAATGTACCAGAAATGGGGCCGGTAGGTGGCGGGTGTTTAAGAGCCCTTGACTCCCACATGGGCGACTATGGTTCAAGTCCTGGATCTGGCGTCTTGCTTTCTCGCTTTCCTTCTTTCTCTTCTGGTAAAATTTTAATTAATTAAAGTAAAATAATTATATATAAAAAGGAAATGTACCAGAAAAATTCATGGAACACTTATTGATAAATTTCTGTTACTACATTGTTGTCACTACACTTTTTTTCCTTTACTGGATAAGGTTGAAAACCCACCTTTTTCACAACTCTAATAAATTTTCAGTATTCCTTTTTCACACAGAAAATAGATAAACATTTATCTATTTTTGACTTACAACTCTTCAAAATATTTACCATTGTGTAGCTGGAGTTATAATTCTGAAAGTGGACCATGTCACTCCCTCACTTAAAATTTGACAGGTTCTGTTTTCCTACAGCCCTCAGAGTTCCAACTTTACGATCTCTTTTCTACACACATTCATTCACAACAGCTATATTCCAGCCACAGTGAACAGCTTGCAAATCATGCAGTAGGGATTAGGCCCTTATACCTACCTCTCATCCTTATCCATATAGCCCTTACATGTCTAATTCTTTTACACTAACCTTTTTCTCCCTTGTCCCATTCCTTATTCTCAGCATAATGCAACCCATGACTTGTCTAAGCTTTGAAGAAAGCTTTTTACAACCACTCACATACTCCCTACTTGCTATGTGGGAACACATGCTTCTGCTTGAATTGGATCTGAATATTTTTTACATTTATAGTCTGTTAGTACCCTAGTCTACTATTTTCTTCAGTGTTTGGGTCAAAGTAGCCAAATTTAGGTAGAAATTGTGAGATCTTCAAGAAGTTCATGGAAAATGGGTATAGTGGAAAAATGATGCATAGATTTAATTTTTTTTCCGTACAAAATAAACTCATACTTTAATTCCATTTTTTCCATGAAAGTTTTAAAGTTCTTTCATACAGTATGATTTTTATAGTAATTGTGGCCTTTACTATGTAAGAAAGTATGCTATTAAAATTCAAATATTTAAGTACATGGCACTTAGCAATCAAATTGTTGTGTATGACAGATTGAAAATTGTGAAGGATTTTCCTCCTCTGGAAACAATTACTTGCTTTGGAATAACAACATTGTCTCTTTAGAAGTAGCTATAGAGGAATGCTCCCCATAGTCTAGTGGTTAAGGGAGTCAGATCTCACATGACCCATTGTGGTTCAAATCCATAACGTGATGACTTGAAAACATGCCAAGTGTGTGTTAGCTCACGCCCCAAATCCCTGTAGAATGGAGAAATAGAGAAGGGATTGCAGTGTGAACATGCCCCATTTGAGGGTTGGGAGCTGCTTTTTCTTTCTCCCTCTCTTTCTGTATCTCTGATGAGTACATGTACCAGCTGGCAATGAAAAAAAAAATAGCTGTAGACTTTCACTGCTAGGGACCAGCAGACCGCGTAATGGTTACGTGGCTTGATGACTCCCACATTGTCAACTGCAATTCAAGTCACGGGCCCAACGACTTAAACTCATGCCAGGTGTGTGTGCTTGCATGCCCAGAATCCCTAGAGAAGAATGGAGGAGAAGGGACTGCAGCATGATCATCTCCACTGGAGGATGATTGCTCACTTTCTGTCTTTCTGTCTCTGGCAGTCGTACATGCCCTGAAGCAAAAATGTCTCTAGAAAAAAAAAAAAAAAGAATTTTGCTATTAGAGGGACCAGCAGATGGCCTAATGGTTACATCACTTGACTCCCACATAGTCGACTACAGTTTCAGTCCTGGACCCAGCCATTTAAAAACCCATGCTGGGTGTGTGTGCGTGTGTGCCCAAATCCTCAAGAGGAGAATAGAGAGGAAGGGATTGTGGGTGGCCATCCCTTCTGTCTCTCCAGTGAGTGCATGTGCCCTATAGCAAAAATCTCCCAAAAAGAAAGAAAGAAATTTGGCTATCAGAAAGCTACGGCAGAAAAATTAATAGGGCCATGCTGTATTTTCAGCATATAAAAGGTTAAAAACCAATAGGGCCATGCTATATTTTCAATATATAAAAAGTTAAATATTTTCAGATAATAACTGAAACAATTGATAATCACATTATTTGGCATTATTCTCACTATTCCATTAAACATCATCAATTTAGTACCTCTTTGACCTTTCTCATAGACATGTACAATTTCTGCCTCATTATCTAAACCACATCAGAGGAAAGTAACTAGAGTGATTTTCATCACATTTGCAATGGCCTGATTTTAAATACAAGGGGACTTCAACAAGTTTGCAGAAAAATGGTATTAAAGTACAAGCTGATTTGGTGCCTCAAATTTTTAAAATATTCATCCATTTTTTTTAAGAATTATTTATTTATTATTGTTAATATTATTTTTCACATGAGTTTTGCCAGAGAAAGACAGAGAGGGAGAGAGAGAAAGCAAGCTGCCAGGTCTGGGACTCAAACCATGGCCAGCCATGTGTGAATTCCAGCACCTTAACCACCATGCCACCTGCTGGCCCTATCCATAGTTATTTCATGATATGGATTTTCCATGAACTTTTGTAAGATTCCTCATATAGACCACATAGCAAACAGAATATTCAGGGAGATGGGAATATGCTGGGAAGTTACCTGAAAAAGGCCTCCTCCAAAGCAATAGACACTGAGGCTCAGCAGGAGACTGGTATGACTACATATGGGGAGAGGCATACTGTTTTTTGTTTTTTTTGCTCAAGAGACAATATTAATTAATTATTTTATTTTTTTATTATCATCATCATAATCTTCTTTATATTACATTGGATTCTGTTTGTTTTCAAATATCCCCAGAAAGATTATTTCAGATTAGCAATACGGAATACTGTGGGGACCAGCAGGTGGTGTGGTGGTTAAGTCACTGGATGCTCACATGGGTGACCACGGTTCGAGTCCTGGACCTGGTGGCTTGCTTTCTTACTTTCCTTCTCTCTCTGTGTCCCTCTCTGGTCAAATTAAAATAAAATAATGAATAAGTTCAATATTTTTAAAAAACATTCATACCTACTGTGAATAAATTCATACCTACTGTGAATAATACCTACTTTGAATAAATTCAAACCTACTGTTAATAATAGGTATGAATTTAAACATGTTTCTGAACTTATGACTTTAAATGGGGTCATTTGTCTTTTTTTTAATTTGTAGAAACTCTCTGTTTATAAAGAAAATTGAGAATTGCCCTATTTATCATGAATTATACATTTTTTTACAGCTTTATTTTCCTCTCACAGTTTTTATCTTGTTTCTGTTTTCCCTTTGGAGTATTGTAGTCCCTCATGAACGTATGTACTAAAATTGATTGATTTTTTTTTTCCTGTACATTTCCTTGATTTAATGTCCCATTAAAGTGGTGTAATGGTTACGTCACTGGACTCCCACATAGTCAACCGTGGTTTGAGTCCCAGACTTGGTGTCTTCAAACTCACACCAGGCACATGTGCATGCATGCCCAAAAACTCAAGAGGAGAATGGAGGAGAAGGGATTGTGGCATGGCCACTCTTCTGGAGGATGATGTCTCACTTTCTATTTCTTTGTCTCTCTAGCAAATGCACACACCCTATAGCAAAAAAAAAAAAAAAACTCTTAAAAATGGCATATTCATATTTTATTCAAATATGCCATAGCTTTATATTAAATTTTTAATAAATTACTATATGGACTATTAGGAGTCTTCAAAAAAGTGCATGGAAGATGTACATTATGAAAAAACAGATGGATTTCAACATTTTTTTGTTGCATCCAAATAAACTTGTACTTTGGGGACCAGCAGGTGGCATGGTGGTTAAGGTGCTGGACACTCCCATATAGCCAACAATGATTCGAGTCCCAGACCTAGTGGCTTGCTTTCTCACTTTCCCTCTTTCTCTCTCTCTGTCTCTCTCTGATAAATTAAAGAAAATAATAACATGAATGAATAAATAAAATAAAAATAATAAACTTATACTTTAATGTCATTTTTCATGAATTTTTAGAGTCCATTTGTGTACTAAGTATGTAACATCTCTATCAGAATAGTATTTTGGGCGAGCAGCAGATGCTATATTGGCTATATTGCTGGATTTCCACGTATTCGACCGCAGTTTGAGTCCCAGACCAAGTGGCTTAAAACTCACATCAGGCACATGTGTGTGCATGCCCAAAATCTCAGGAGAAAAATGGAGAAAGGATTGCAGTGTGGCTACCTCCCCTGGGGGGTAATTTCTCGCATTCTGTCTCTCTGGCAAGCACACGTGCCCTATAGCAAAAATCTCTGTCAAAAAAAAAATGCCTTTTATTAAATAGCTCATATTTCCTCTCACTAATACTGTATACTGCTTTCATCACAAGTTAATTCCTTATGTATGTTTGAACTCTCCTTTCTGTTGAGGCTTTTCCTGTAATGTTTCCCTAAATTTGAGTGGCAAGTCACCTCTACTTGCCCTTTGGTATCCTTTTGCACCGGTAACCCTTCTGCTAGGCCCTATCTCTGCTTGCTCCGTATTAAGGGCAGTGAAGACTATCTAGATGTCAGATACTTTGCTCAGTGTCTAAGACCCAACCTCAGAGATTCTACTCTAATAGTTGCAGAAATTTCACCTGTAGAGCTTTGATCAGGTGAATTATAATATTTCTTTCCAGTGGAGTTATTTAGTAAACTACTTCCTTTTCTGGCTTAAATTGCCTTATCGTTTTAAAAGTAGAGAGTGTAGTACAGGTAACATAGTTAAAGTACCTGGGTCCAACATGACCCAGCAGCTCAAAATGTATGCCTAAAATCCTTTAGGAAAAATGGAAGAAAAATAATTATGGCATGACTGTTCTCTGTGGGAGGATGCTTCCTCACTTTTCTCATTTTCTCCCTTTTTTTCTCTCTCTGTGGCCTAACTAAAATGCTGGGTTTGAGTTCCTATTCAGCCATTTACTTTGTGACCTTGGACAGCTTGCAAAAAATCTGGAGTATTATATTTAATTGATAAATGCATGTAAATTACTTAGAGTGAGTGCTTATCATATAGTAAGTGCCTGTCATATAGTGAGTACTCAAATATTAGTAGTTGTTACTAGTGTATCATATCATAGAAACTATGAAGAATATTAGATACTAAAATATTGCTTTGTATATTTTTTGTTTTTCTAAAGGGGACAATTCATCTCTTTCGAAAACCACAAAGATCCTTTTTTGGAAAGTTATTACAGGAATTTAGACTTGTTGCAGCTGACCGGAGGGTAAGTTATTTATTTATTTATTTTTTTAAAGAGGATTTTGCCTTAGAGCTCACACCCTAGGGTGGGCAGGGGTGGGGGGAGACAGAGACAGTGAGAGGGAAAGTGAGAAATCACCCCCTACAGGGGATGGCCACACTGCAATCTCTTCTCCTCTATTCTCTCAGGATCTTGGGCACTCATGCATACACTCCCGGCTTGAGTTTTAAACCACCAGGTTTAAAACTTGAACCGTGGTCAACTATGTGGGAGTCCAGCAATGTAACCATTACACTATTCACTGGTCCCAGGAAAAGGTAACTTCTAAGGCAAATAGAAATCTCTGTCAGTATACAGTTTTCATTTATCCATGGTAGGTGTTTTTTTCTTTATGAAAAAAAGAGAAAGGGAGAGAAATAGAGATAGGTTGTTTTTTGTTTGGTTTGGGTTTTCGGTGTTTTCTTTTTGGTTTTGTTTTGTTATTTGAGATAGGTATTTTTAACTGAATCTTGCTATATTGTGATCCTCCTGCTCTGATCTCCTAATTAGCTAGGACTACAGGTCGTTGCAGCCATGCCTAGAGTGTTCAGATTGGCTTTAAAACCAAATCCCTAGTTCATTCAGGTTTCTGCATTCATAGATGACCATTTCCTTTCATTTTTCTGTCTTCAAGCTTGCAAAGCCTACTTTATCTTCACTCTAATCTGTTGATCTTGCTTCTTTTTTTCACTGAGCTGAAAATAATCAGGTGGCATAGTGGTTATGGCATTGGACCCCACCTCCACACGTCGGACTACAGTTCAGTTCCTAAACCTGGTGGCTTGAAATTCACACCAGGTGCAGGTGCATGTGGATGTATGCCCAAAATCCCAAGAGGAGAAGGGATTGTGCCATGGCCATACCCGCTGGGGAGTGATTTCTCACTTTCTGTCTTTCTTTGTTTCTTCTCTCTTTGACTTTTCGGAAAAGTGCACACACATACCCTATAGCAAAAATCTCTCTTAAAAAAAAAAAAGGAACCCAAAGAAAATTCCACATCCTATCATTAGGATATCAACCAACACCTTGCTTTCCCTCCTAGTTTTTTTTTTTTTTTTTTTTGAGACTTTTTTTTTGCTATAGGGCGTGTGCGCTCCCAAGAAAGAGAGACACAAACAGACAGAGAGTGAGAAATCACCCCCCAGGGGAGATGGCCATTCCACAGTCCCTTCTCCTCCATTCTCCTCTTGGGATCTTGGGCACGCACGCACGCACACGTGCCTGGCATGAATTTAAGCCACCAGGTCTGGGACTTGAACCATGGTCGACTACTTGGGAGTCCAGTGACATAGCCATTATGGTAACTGCTGGTCCCCCCTCTTTATTGTTTTTAAATTTCATTTGTTATTTTCATGAGAGAGAAAAAGAGAAAGTAAGGGAGTGGGGTGGAACAAAAATAAAACACATTTCACTTGATTTCTTTATCCTTTATTTTTGGAATACCTTTCTTTATTCCTCTAAAATCTAGCTATTTTCTTTCTTTCTTTTTTTTTTTTTTGGAGAGGTTTTTGCTATAGGGCACATGCGCTCACCAGACAGACAGAGAGACAGAGAGACAGAAAGCGAGAAATCACTCCCTGGGGGGATGGCCACGCTGCACTCCCTTCTCCTCCATTCTCCTCTCCGGATCTTGGGCACACACGCACACGCACCCGGCGTGAGTTTAAGCCACCAGGTCTGGGACTCGAACCATGACCAACTACGTGGGATCCCAGCAACATAGCCATTACACTAATTGCTGGTCCCTAAATCTAGCTATTTTCAAGGTTTAACTTCATGTGTTCTCTTTTCTATGAACTTTTTTTTTTTTTTAGAGGGTTTTGCTATATAGGGCGCGTGCGCTGGCCTGACAGACAGAGACAGAGAGACAGAAAGTGAGAAATCAGCCCCTAGGGGGGATGGCCACACCACAGTCCCTTCTCCTCCATTCTCTTCTCAGGATCTTGGGCACGCACACACACGCGCCCGGCGTGAGTTTTAAGCCACTGGGTCCAGGACGTGAACCGCGGTTGACTACGTGGGAGTCCAGCGACATAGCCATTACGCTAACTGCTGGTCCCTCTATGAACTTTTAAACCATGCCTTTCCCTCTTCAGTCCATTTCATGTAACTTAAATAATCAACTATGTGTCTTTGTTGGTAACTTTTTATTTTTATATCATTTCAAAATTATAGCGAAATTACAAGATTAATATAAGAAGCACCATTATGCCCTTTGCTCAGATTTACCAATTGTTTACATTTTGTACCATTTGCTTTATCATTGTTTGCATATATACATATTTATAAAGCAAAAATGGCGTACATATATTTGCATGATTTTTCTCAACTATTTGAGAGTTTAATAGTATCAATTTATTTTCTCTTAAAAAATTTCCTTCTGGGAATTATTGTTTATATTTGTATATTATTGCTAATAATTTGGTTAATGAAAATTTGGGTAGAGATAGAAAATGTGACACACAAATTGTGCTTATTTCTTTGTCTATCAGAGTATAAATTCCAGCAACTTGAACAGATCCACTGATAAATTTATCAGCACTGTACAAACAAGAATTATTTTCTTTCTCAAATCCCTTCTCCATTTTCCTCTCAGGATCTTGGGCACACATGCACATGCACCCATTGTGACTTTCAAGCCAGAGGGTTTAAGACTCAAACTATGGCCATCCATATGGGAGTACAGTGATGTAAACTCAATGCCACCTTCTGGTCCCCTTTATTTATTTTTATTATTATTTTTTTAATGAGCAGATATTTCTGTCTCTTTTTCTCTTTTCTATGAACTTTTTTTTTTTTTTGAGAGGTTTTTGCTATAGGGCGCGTGCGCTGGCCTGACAGACAGAGACAGAGAGACAGAAAGTGAGAAATCAGCCCCTAGGGGGGATGGCCACACCACAGTCCCTTCTCCTCCATTCTCTTCTCAGGATCTTGGGCACGCACACACACGCGCCCGGCGTGAGTTTTAAGCCACTGGGTCCAGGACGTGAACCGCGGTTGACTACGTGGGAGTCCAGCGACATAGCCATTACGCTAACTGCTGGTCCCTCTATGAACTTTTAAACCATGCCTTTCCCTCTTCAGTCCATTTCATGTAACTTAAATAATCAACTATGTGTCTTTGTTGGTAACTTTTTATTTTTATATCATTTCAAAATTATAGCGAAATTACAAGATTAATATAAGAAGCACCATTATGCCCTTTGCTCAGATTTACCAATTGTTTACATTTTGTACCATTTGCTTTATCATTGTTTGCATATATACATATTTATAAAGCAAAAATGGCGTACATATATTTGCATGATTTTTCTCAACTATTTGAGAGTTTAATAGTATCAATTTATTTTCTCTTAAAAAATTTCCTTCTGGGAATTATTGTTTATATTTGTATATTATTGCTAATAATTTGGTTAATGAAAATTTGGGTAGAGATAGAAAATGTGACACACAAATTGTGCTTATTTCTTTGTCTATCAGAGTATAAATTCCAGCAACTTGAACAGATCCACTGATAAATTTATCAGCACTGTACAAACAAGAATTATTTTCTTTCTCATAGTCCTGGAAGATACTCCTCTTTGGTGCAATAAATTTGATATGTACGGGCTTCCTGCTTATGTGGTGCAGTTCTACAAATAGCATAGGTATGTTGCCATTTTTATTTTTATGGAGTTAATTTCTAGTCTCACTTTTATTCTTCTGATTTTTTTACCAGTTTTAAATTTTTTCATTTTCTTTTGTTGTGTGTTTTTTTTTTTTTTTTTTTGCATGTGCTTGCAAATGCAAAGAGAGAGAGGGAAAATGAGAAATCGCCCCTTGGGGCTTGGTCATGCTGTAGTCCTTTCTCCTCCATTCTCCTCTCAAGATTTTAGGCACACCGAGTGTGTTTTTCAAACCGTTGGATCCAGGATTTCAGTTGTGCAGTTGGCCATGTGGGATCCAGTGCCTTAATCACCATGCCACTGACTGGCCCTATTCTGATTTTAAATAAAAATTTATCTTCCTGCTCCATGGGAATCCAGCAACATAACCATTACACAATCTGCTGGTCCTGTAGCTACATATAATAAAGTTACTACAATAGATAATTAGCACCATATGAAGTTGGTTGGTACCTATACAATTTTTTTTGATAATGGACACCCCTAGTATGAGCAATTTGGTGACTTGTCATATGTCCTTAATAATGAATTCAGTAACATTTTAATCAAACTTTTTGTTGTTTTGCAGCTTTAACTGCTTATACTTATCTGACCATTTTTGATCTTTTTAGGTAAGTTTTTAAAAATTTTCTTAATGTTTTGAATCCAGTGAGGAATGTGTCACATTGAATTTATAAAGTTACTTTCTTTCTTAGAAGAAAGTAATGTTCTATATGTAAAATGATCAAAATCTATAGACAATAATAGAGACATAATAGAAGAAAATCTCATTTATGTAATAATAGAAAAGATAAATGTATAAATTTAACAAAATACATACATACTCTGTATAAAGAAAACTTTACATGGTCCCGAAGAACAAAATATAAAAGAAGACTTAAAAATAGAAAGGTGTGTTGGACTCATAGTCTCATGCTTAAGGGAGCTGGATCCCACATGACTAACTGTAGTTCAAATCACAGCCCCTGCCACTTGAAAAACACACCAGGCAGATATGTATGGGTACCCCAATTCCTGATATTAGAATATTAAATATTATAAGTGATGATATTTTACATGGAGGTGTAGAAATATATTTTAATGAAGAACGTTAATACTATGATGATGTTATTAAACTGCAGAAATTAAATAGAATGATTTATACATAAATAAAATGTATTAATGTTTTTTTTCATATATGTGTGTATGTATATATATACACACACCTTTTTTGGGGGGGGGGAGAGGTTTTTGCTATAGGGCGCGTGTGCTCGCCAGACAGACAGAGAGAGACATAGAGACAGAAAGCGAGAAACCCCCCCCCAGGGGGGATGGTCACGCCACAATCCCTTCTCCTCCATTCTCCTCTCGAGATCTTGGGTATGCACGCACATGCGCCCGGCATGAGTTTTAAGCCACCGGATCCAGGACGTGAACCACAGTCAACTACGTGGGAGTCCAGCGACATAGCCATTACGCTAACTGCTGGTTCCCAGCCTTTTTTTTTTTTAAGAGGGAGTTTTTTGCCATAGGTCACATGCACTTGCTAAAGAGAAAGAGAAAATGAGAAATCACCCCCCAGGGATGTGGCCATGCTGCAGTCACCTCTCCATCTCCCTCTCAGAATTCTGGGCATGCCATGCACACCTGCCTTGCTTGAATCTCAAACTGCTGCATATAGGACTTGAACTGCGGTCAGCCATGTGAGAGTCCAGCATCCCAATCACCATACCACCTTGCTAACCCCTGTTAGATTTATATATTATTAGGAAATAAACTAGATCAGTATAACATATTTTATTAAATCTTGGATTTCAACAGTTCTAAGACAATTATTTTTTATGTCTTCAAGAAAGAGAAAGATATAGTATATTTTCATCTTTATTTTAGTGTCATTAAAACATGAAAAAAAAATGCTGCCTTAAATTAAGATTTTATTTATTTATTGAGAAAGTTGTGTTTGGATTCTAGCTTGTGTTATAATTTGTTTTAGTTTCTAGCTTGTGTTATAATTTGTTTTAGTTTCATCATATGTTAAAAGCTGTCATCTATGTATACCATGCATTAGAATATTCATTGTGATTTGATGTTAAATTATTAGAATAATTACTAGAATAATTCATTCTAATAAAAAGTAATAGTTATACTAATACAGTATTTAAATAATTCATTGTTTAGTCTATGCAAACACTGATAACTTTCAGCAACTTCAGAATTCTTTTTTTAAAGAATTATTTTATTTAACTTCGTTTATTTATTTACTTATTTTAATTTGACCAGAGAAGGACAGAGTGAGAGAGAGAGAGAGGGAGAGAGAAAACCGCCAGGTCCAGAACTTAAACTGCAGTCAGCCGTGTAGGAGTCCAGTACCCTAGCCACCCCACTACCTGCTGGCCCACAACTTTAGAATTCTGAAAACTTAAATTTGTTTGCATATTCTCTTCTTGCTCTAGTTCTAATGCTAGAATTATTTTTCTTTCTGCTTAGCTTAATGACATGTTTAATAAGTTACTGGGTAATGATGAAGAAACCTAGCCCTGTCTATTCATTTGGGTAAGTTCAAATTATTTCATTTTCTGCTAACTTGCAACTATTAAAATAATAATTATAGTCATCATTAAAGAACTAGCCAGAGTATTTCCAGAAAATAGATGCTGCTAGCTTACTAAAATGGTGATCAAATGAAGTAGATAGAAAATCATCTTCCAAAAGGATTTTAGAAAAGAAACATGACTATTTAAAATATAAATCATTTTAAAATGTTCACATTTAGCTTTTTTATATATTTTATGAAACAATTATTAACATAAAATATTCATATTAAATTCTCTAAAATTTTGGGAATCTCTTATTTTAGTTAAAGATCCTACAAAGGATTTTTATGTATCTTCAAACTATTGAAGTAATATGACATATTTTAATATTATGCTGTAGAAGAAATGGATTTTTGTCTTGAGGATTTGGATTTGGGAGCAGTGAAATAAAGATTTTGAGATTTCTGTTTCTATAATTTTGAAATTATTCAAAGTTGAAATTTGGGTGATAATCTTTTATATTAGAGAGTTTTATAAAAATGTATTGATATTAGAAAAATGAGTTCTTTCTGATTCAAGAAAACAAAAGAATAATTTTACGTTAGTTAAAAAACTCCCAGGTCAGCCCTGCCACACAGTGGTTAAGTGGTAGTTAAGCGCTGTGCACGGAAAGCTGGATCCCATATGGCTGACTGCAGTTGAAGTCCTGGCTCTGTGTGTTCATGCCCCAAATCCCTATAGGATGGAAAAATGGCCATGCCTCACTGGGGTACTCTCTCTCTCTTTTTCTCTCTCTCTCTCTGTCTTTATCTCTGATGAGTGTATATGCCCTCTGCTGATAAAGAAACAGAAGAAAAGGAACTCTTGTATCAATCTTACCCTTCTTCCCCACCTTACCCTTCACTGGGATTACATTGTTTCAAAGCAAGTCAGGTTTTATTTATTTAAACTGCGTAACAAAGTAACCAAGAAGTGTTACTTTGGTATTCTAACAGGTCTCTGAAATTTGATACAGTTTAACTATTACTAAGATAATCAGTTATAAAATATAGTAAACCTATATATGGAAATCTATTACTCTGAGTCAAATTTTAGCTTACTGGTGATGGAAATCTAAAACTAGCTTTGGGGTGGGAAACATGATTTATGAAATCAAAACTATGGAAAAACAGTAACTGTCATAGGGACTTAGTCCACGGAGATCATTGTCTTTTTATTATTACCTCTCGGGATTGCTTTTCTTTTTTTCTTTTTCTTTTTATTTTTTGAGAGGTTTTTGCTATAGGACACATGCACTCACCAGAAAGACAGAGACAGAGAAACAGACAGCGAGAAATCACCCACTGGAGGGATGTCCATGCTGCAATTCTTTCTCCATTCTCCTTTTGGGATCTTGGGCACGCACACACACACGCCTGGTATGAGTTTAAGCCACTGGATCTGGGCCTTGAACAGTGGTCAACTGCATGGGAGTCCGGTAACATAGCCATTACATCAACTGCTGGTCCCGCTCTATTTTTTTTTTTTTTTGTAATAATTATTTTATTTAACTTTATTTATTTTAATTTGACCAAGAGGGACAGAGAGAGAGAGAGAAGGTGAGAAAGCAAGCTGTCAGGTCCGGGACTCGAACTGCAGTCAGCCATGTGGGAGTCCTTAACCACCATACCACCTGCCAACCCGTGTTTCTTTCTTTTTTTTATTTTTTAAATGTCAGAAGGCATACAGACATGAGAGAGAGAACAAGAACTTTCTTTCAGTGCTGCAATCCTTTTCGCTCCAGTTCTTCATTTTGTCAGGAACCTGGGCACATGCACACATGCACTTGGGATTTGAATGGCCACTGGCCATGTGGAATCCAGCCTCCTTTCCAAGTGCTTAGCTATGGCACTATGGGCCAGCCCAGGCCTGCTTTTCTCTGTATGCCAGGTTCAGTCTCTCTGCTCACTTTTCTCTTATCAGTCTGTAATGATAACTCCTAGCAAGACTTTAACTCACATTTCTCACCTTATCCCTAGTTCTAGTTCAAAAATCACAATAAAGGGAACCAGCAGTTAGCGTAATGGCTATGTCGCTGGACTCCCACATAGTCGACCGTGGTTCGTGTCCCGGACCCGGTGGCTTAAAACTCTCGCTGAGCGTGTGTGTGTGCGTGCCCAAGATCTTGAGAGGAGAATGGAGGAGAAGGGATTGCGACATGGCCATCCCCCCTGGGGGGTGATTTCTCGCTTTCTGTCTCTACGTCTCTCTCTGTCTGTCTGGCGAGCGCATGCGCCCTATATCAAAAACCACTCCAAAAAAAAAAAAATCACAATAAAGAACTATTTTATCTCTTTTGGAACAGGCATCAGTTACTGCAGACAGGAATTAAGGTCATGTGAGGACATGACGACTCCCATTTTTGCCCAGTTGCTTAGGGTGAACAGGAAAGGAAGAAACAATTTTAGACTTAAACAAAGTTAAATATTCAGATGCTATTATAATCAATCGCTTAGGGGACCAGCAGTTGGTGTAAAGGCTATGTCACTGGACTCCCATGTAGTCGACTGCGTTTCGAGTCCCGGACCTGGTGGCTTAAACTCACGCTGGGCATGTGTGCGTGTGTGCCCAAGATCCCGAGAGGAGGATGGAGAAGGGATTGCAGCATGACCACTCCCCCTGGGGGCGATTTCTGCCTGTCTATGTCTTTCTGGCAAGCCCATGTGCCCTATAGCAAAAACCTGTCCAAAAAAAAAAAAATCACTTAAAGTGTCATTTATATTTAGCAATTTCAAAATTCAGTTATCCGAAGAGATCCATCTAGTTTCAGACCACTTCCTTCATAGCTTCACATGGGTTACTAATTGGTGTTATAAAATTAGGACAGAATTCTTTTTTTTTTCCGAGAGTTTTTTTTTCCTATAGGGTGCGTGCACTTGCCAGAAAGACAGAGAGAGACAGAGAGACAGAAAGCGAGAAATAACCCCCCCCGGGGGGGAGGGGGATGGCCATGCTGTAATCCCTTCTCCTCCATTCTCCTCTCGGGATCTTGGGCACACACGCACACATGCCCAGCGTGAGTTTAAGCCACTGGGTCTGGGACTTGAACCGCAGTCGGCTTACATGGGAGTCCAGCAACAAAGCCATTACACCAACTGCTGATTCCAGGACAAAATTCTTGATTTCTCTCCCCCACTCCCAGCCTGTTTCTCTGTGGTTTTCAGTATATTCAGTATATACTATCAGGACTCAGTTACTCAAGCAAAAAATTATAGGGATTATCCTTGATTATTCTCTTTTCTCCTGCCTCTATCCATCAACAGATTATATCAAGGAAACCAACAAACACAAGCAGAATTAGCCCCCATTCCCATGTATCGCCAGTGCTACCATCCTGGTGCTACCATTCCTGGTGCTACCACCCGAGTACTACCATCCCAATACAACCATCCCTTTACTACTACCCAGTACTACCACCCCAGTACTACCATCCTGGTGCTACCACCCCAGTACTACCACCCCAGTAATACCATCTCAGTACTACCATCCCAGTGCTACCACCCCAGTGCTACCATCCCAGTACTACCACTCAAGTACTACCATCCCAGTGTTACCATCCCTTTACTACCACTCCAGTGCTACCACCCCAGTGCTACCATCCCAATACAACCATCCCTTTACTACCACCCTAGTGCTACCACACCAGTGCTACCATCCTGATGCTACCACCCCAGTACTACCACCCCAGTAGTACCATCTCAGTACTACCACCCCAGTACTACCACCCCAGTAGTACCATCTCAGTACTACCACCCCAGTGCTACCATCCCAGTGCTACCATCCTGGTGCTACCACCCCAGTGCTACCACCCCAGTACTACCACCCCAGTGTTACCATCCCTTTACTACCACCCCAGTACTACCACCTCAGTACAGCCATCTCTTTACTACCACCCAGTACTACCATCCCAGTGCTACCACTCTGGTGCTACCACCCCAGCACTACCATCCCAGTGCTACTATCCCAGTACTACCACCTGAGTACTACCATCCCAGTGTTACCATCCCTTTACTACCACCCCAGTACTACCACCCCAGTGCTACTATCCCAGTACTACCACCCCAGTGCTACCATCCCAGTACTACCACAACAGTACTACCACCCCAGTGCTACTCTCCCAGTATTACCACCCTAGTACTACCACCCGAGTACTACCATCCAAGTGCTACCATCCTAGTGCTACCATTCCAGTACTACCATCCCAGTGCTACCACCCGAGTACTACCACCCCAGTGCTACCATCCCAGTATTACCATCCCAGTCCTACTACCCTAGTACTGCCACCCTACTACTACCATCTCAGTACTACCATCCCAGTGCTACCCCCCCAGTACTACTACCCCAGTACTACCATCCCAGTACTACCACCTCAGTACTACCACCCCAGTACTACCACCCCAGACCTTCCTTCCTTTGTTGCCTTAACTAACGTCCAGCATCCTCTCATCCTCCATGCTTCTGCTCTTGTCCCACTGTAGTTCATTCTCCTTACGGCAGCCAGTGTTTTTTTTTTAAACCTAAATCATACCATCATTCTCTTCCTTCAAACAATCTGTTTCCCATCATATGTACTTAAAATCCTGACCCTTTTCCTTCATATACAAAACCCTATGTGAGTTGGGATCTGCAAATGGTATAATGGTTACATTGCTGGACTCCCACAAAGTTGACCATAGTTTGAGTCCTGGATACGGAGGCTTGAAACTCACGCAAGGTGCATGTACATGTATGCCCAAAACCCTGTGAGGGGAATGGAGAAGGGATTGCAGCATGGCTATCCCCCCTGGGGAATGATTTCTCACTCTGTCTCTGTCTCTGTCTCTAGTGAGTACATGCATCCTATAACAAAATCTCTCTCAAAGCAAAAACAAAAATAGCCTTGTGCGAGAAGTTCCCTGCCCACTTCTCAATTTACCACTCTCAAGCATTTTGCACCACAGTGACTTTCTTTCTGTCATTTGAATACAGCTAACCCATTCTCACCATAGGGCCTTTGAACAACTAGTCTCTTTGCTTGAAATGTTTTTTACCTGATCTTTGCAAGACCAGCTTCCTCTTGTTATTAAGATCTTAATATTACTACATGCTATTTCCATTAATCGCCTTCTATAATTGTTTCCTTGAGAAAGATTAAGCATTTATACTTACCTAAGAATTGAGTAACAGGCCAACAGGTGGCAGGGTGGTTAAGATGCTGGACTCCCATATGGACAACTGTGTTTCAAATCCCGGACCTAGAGGCTTGCATTTAATTTGACCAGAGAGAGAAAGAGAGGAAAAGTAAGAAAGCAAGCCACCAAGTCCAGGACTTGAACTATGATTGGCCATGTGGGAGTGTCTAGCACCTTAACCATCATGCCATCTGCTAGCCCCAGTTCCTTATCTATTAAAAAAAAATTAAATAACATAATCTTCATAAAGGGTTGTGGGGTTTAGATGAGGTAGTATGATAACAGTTTGATCAGAGTCCAACACAAAATGGGTCAATTAAGTGGTGTTTATTGTGACCAGCAGGTGGCATGGTAGTTAAGGGTGCTGGACTCCCACATGGCTGCCCACAGTTCAAGTCCCAGACCTGGTAGCTTGCTTTCTCACTTTCTCTCTCTCTATCCCTCTCTGGTCAAATTAAAATAAATAAATAAATAAAGTTAAATAAAATAATTATTTGACAATTGTTTTTATTATGGTAATGATTATTTCTAGAAAAATAAGGGACACACATGGATCCTGGAAAGTTATATTGTGCAGATAAGCACTCTTTACTCTCTGGTTTTCATTGTTTATTATTCCTCCAGAAACTCAGTAGTCTGTTCTAACAGTGCTTGACTCAGAGTAGATGGCACAGTTGTATATTGAGTGAATGAATAAATGAATGTAAGTGATGAATGTAAGTGTGTTCTAGAGAGGCTGGTTTGTGAATTGAAATCTTTATGGTACTCTAATTAATTTTCTGATTTCAGGTTTGAAAGGTTAGAAGTCCTGGCTGTATTTGCCTCCACAGTCTTGGCACAGTTGGGAGCTCTTTTTATATTAAAAGAAAGGTACATTTAAATATGATGTTATTCTAAATCACCTTTGGGTACTGCTGGCCCAGTGGTTAAAGTGACTGGATCCCACCGGTCAACTACAAAGAGTCTTGGACCTGGCAGCTCGGGGAACATGACCTTTGTGTTTGCATGCATTCCCAAAATCCCCAGAGGAAGGAGAGCCGGAAGAGAAGGATTGAAATGTAACCATGCCTCATAGGAGGTGCTTTCTTGCTTTTTCCCCACCTCATTTGTTCTCTTGGGTGAGCATATGTACATTTAAAAAATAAAATAAAATAAGTTGTGCTAGAGTTTTAAAATTTTTTTAAAGAACTATTTATTTAATTTTATGTATTATTGTTTTTTAACTTGGCCAGAGAGGGAATAAGAAAGCAAGCTGCCAGGTCCAGGACCCAAACAGCGGTCGGCCATATGGGAGCTTAGTGCCTTAACCACCATGCCACCTGCCAGCCCCCGTGCTAGAGTTTTTATAGTAGTTTTTTCGTGTTTAAGATTCCTCCCATCTTTTTCTCTTTAATTTCTACTTTCATGCTACTAAATTCAATCATAGGTAGGTGTGAGTGAAAAAAAGAAGATTCATTCAGATATGTTTTAAAATTTATTACAAAACCATTGAAATTGTTTTGGTGAAGATTAACATTACATATTAAGAATGATTTGTGGGACCAGCAGATGGCATAGTGGTTCCGCTGCTGTGCTCCCACATGGTCGACCACAGTTCAGCTCCCACACCTGGCGGCTTAAAACTCATGCCAGGCACGTGTGTGTGCATGCCCAGGACCCCAAAAGAAGAATGGAGGAGATGGGATTGCAGTGTGGCATCCCTCCGGGAGGTGATTTGTTTTCTTTCTTTCTATTTCTCCAGCAAGTGCACACACCCTATAGCAAAAATCTGTCTAAAAAAACTTTTTTTTAAATAATAATTAGTGAGGAGCCAGCAGGTGGTATGGTAGCTAACGGTGCTAGATTCCCACATGGTCAACCATGGTTCAAGTACCAGACCTGACGGCTTGCTTTCTCACTTTCACGCTCTCTCTCTGTCCCTTTCTGGTCAAATGAAAAGAAATAAAGGGAGGGGAGGAAGGAAGGAAAGAAAGAAGGAAATAGTCCTTAAAAAAAAATTTGTGAGTATTCTTGTTTCATCACTGCTAATAATTTCTAATTAGTTATAATTTAAAAATTGTTTTTGAATTTAAGGTGGATTAATCATATATTTAATGAAGCTTTTAATTTTATAATTTATAGGACTTATTTAATATATTTTTCTTCTTTTTTAGTGCAGAACGCTTTTTGGAACAGCCCGAGATACACACGTAAGCTTTTTCTTTTGTCACAACATATAATTTACTATTTAATTTGATCCTAATTATTAATTGGTATATTATTAAATAATGCTTGCTGTGGCCAGTATGAGAGTTTAGAATGTGAACTCTGAATTGCTCTTTCAGAAACAGAAGAAATAAAGAAACGTAAAGTTGTTATAGTGTGCATGTGCTTGCACACTATAACAATCTCTTTTCCTCCATTGCCTCTCAGGATTTTAGGGACACATGCACATGCACTCAGTGAGGTGTTTTTTTGTTGTTTGTTTGGTTGTTTTTCTTTTTTGGGAGGGAGAGGGTTTTGCTAAAGGGCATGTGCACTCTCCAGAACGCAAGAAATCACCCCCCGAGGGGGGATGGCCACACTGCAGTCCTTTCTCCTCCATTCTCCTCTTGGGATCTTGGGCACGCACGTACAGGCGCCCGGCGTGAGTTTAAGCCTCCAGATTTGGGACTCAAACTGTGGTCGACTACGTGGGAGTCCAGTGACATAGCTACTATGCCAACCGCTGATTCCTCAGTGAGTTTTTAAAACCACAGAGTCCATGACTCAAACCATTCAGTCATGTGGAATCTAGCCCTAAATATTTTTATACTTCATAGGGAGACCTTTCAGTCTTGGCTTCAGGTCCCTTATTATTTCCATACTACTAGAGCCACAAATACAGCCTTTAGTCTTATAATTTCAGATTTGACCCTCAAAATCTTTTCATAGCACTTATAGAGAAAAGAATATTTTTCAACCACATAATTGCCAACTCCATGGGCCTTACCTATTCTAATTAGCTTAAATTCAAGAAAGTTTGGGAACCAGCAGTTAGTGTAATGGCTATGTCGCTGGACTCCCACGTAGTCGACCACGGTTCGCGTCCCAGACCCGGTGGCTTAAAACTCACGCTGGGCGCGTGTGCGTGCATGCCCAAGATCCCAAGAGGACAATGGAGGAGAAGGGATTGCGGCGTGGCCATCCCCCCTGGGGGGTGATTTCTTACTTTCTGTCTCTATGTCTCTCTCTGTCTGGCGAGCGCACGTGCCCTATAGCGAAAACCTCTCCAAAAAAAAAAAAATTCAAGAAAGTTTGATTTGTCCAATATATTATAAACCAAATATCATTACCATTTATGCAAATTTATAATAGCAATTACCTGCTAGGGTATATTGTTGTCTTGTGTAACAAAAGTAGACAGGAAGGACTTGGATTATGCTGGAGCTAGAAACCAAGTTCAGATTCTGGCTTTGAAATTATCAAACAGTGAAGACCACTCTGTCTTCCAATCTCTTAGTCTCTCTATACACTGAATTACATATTGGTTTACCTAGAAAGATAATAAAGGTGAATTTTTTTTTTTTTTTTTTTTTTTATTTTAGGGGAAGATTATTAGTTGGTACATTTGTGGCTCTTTCTTTCAACCTGTTTACGATGCTTTCCATTCGGAATAAACCTTTTGCTTATGTCTCTGAAGGTATGTTTTTTGAGTTACTATTAGTTTTTAAAAAATATTTTGTTTGTTTCATTAACTATTATGAGAGAGTAATAGTCAACAAAACATTGACAGTTCAATAATAGTTAATAAGACATCAAATCAGTGAGAAAGCATACTCTGAAGAGAGAAGTAGTTCAAGGATTATGCAATCTTGTTTAAGCAGAAAATTATAAACAAAATCCCAATAGTTCTTATTTTAATATAACAGTTAAAAATGGGCGAGATCAGCAGATGACGTAATGGTTATGTCGCTGGACTCCCATGTAGTCACCAGCAGTTCAAGTTCCAGACCTGACAACTAAAACCCAAACTGGGCATGTGTGCATGAGTGCCTAAAATCCTGAGAGGAGAATGGAGAAGGGACTGCAGCATGGCCATCCCCCAGGGGTTGATTTCTCATTTTCTGTCTCTTTTCGGCAAGCATATGCACCGTATAGGAAAAATCTCTCTTAAAAAAAAAAAAATGGGCAAGACTGATCTATACATAAATTATATGCGCTGAAAAGTTTTATTTACTATGTCGCTGGACTCCCCTGTAGTCGACCGTGATTCGCTTCCCGGACCCAGTGGCTAAAAACTCACGCCAGGCGCGTGTACGTGCGTGCCCAAGATCCCAAGAGGAGAGTGGAGGAGAAGGGATTGCGGCGTGACCATCCCCCCTGGGGGGTGATTTCTTGCTTTCTGTCTCTGTGTCTCTCTCTGTCTGTCTGGCGAGCGCACGCGCCCTCTAGCAAAAATCTCTCCAAAAAAAAAAAAAAGTTATATTTACTAACTAATGTGAATGAGATTTTAGATGTGCAATCTACCTAAGAAAAGTCTATCGTAGCTGTTTATAAAGCATTAGTATACTAAGAATAGTTGATGTAGTAATGGAAAATAATTGTGTTCTGTTAATAAGTTCTCTGGAACTTCTTTTTGTCAATGTATATGAGCATATGAAAATAACAAAACTATTTTCTTTAAAATTTCCTTGTATTTCAAAATCTTAACAAGTTTAGACTTCCTTTTTTTTTCTTTTTTTTCTTTTCAGTGGTCTAAATTATTGGCATTTTTGAATCATTTCAGTGTTTTGGAATTCCACAAACCTACAGAGGTTATCTACTAGAGAAGATAGAGAGGTGGAGTGAAAACAAAAGTGGAATGTTTGCACATATCCACACTGTTAAGCATAGAGAAATGCAGATAGGGAAGTCTTTCTAGGTTTCATTGATTGATCAATAGGATAGTCAGGAGAAGAAAGCTTTGGAAATGCCCACTCAGATTTAGACAACTGTATGTGTGGTATGACAATGAATGGTGGTTGTATGAGTTAGAGTTTTAAGAATTACTGCATGCGGACCAGCAGATGGTGTAATGGTTATGTTATTGTACTTCCACATAATCCACCGCAGTTTGAGTCCCAGACACAGCAAGCACACACACCCTAAGGCAGAAATCTCTCTCTAAAAAAGAAAGAACTACTGCATGAACTGGGAAATTAAATAATGATATTTGTAATCACCAGAGTTGTTTTGAAAAAACGTTTTGGGGACCAGCAGATGGCATAATGGTTACATCGCTAGACTCCCATGGAGCAGACCATGGTTTGAGCACCGGACCCGGCAGCTTAAAACATACCTGGCGCATGTGTGTGCATGCCCAAAATTCCAACAGCAGAATGGAGTAGAAAGGATTGCAACATGGCCATCCCCTCTGGGGGTTGATTTGTCACATTCTGTCTCTTTGTCTCTCTGGAGAGCACTTGTCTCTCAAAAATCTCTCAAAAAAAATTTCTTTTTATGAGTTATAAAAATAGTGTAACATTCATTCTGGAAAATTTGAAAAGGTACAAAGATTTAGGAACAATGGGGTTTTTTTGCAATATATAAGAAATGTCCTAGCGATGGCATGCACTAGGTGCTACTGCTTTTCAGGCTAAGGTCACATGAGAGCCTGAGTTCGATTCCTGGTCTATTATAAATAGAAGGTTGTTGGGGAGCACGTCTGTAATACCAACTACTTAGGAGGCTGAGGAGGATGATCAGGACAAGGTGAGATCCTGTCAAACACACATAGAAAGGAAGATAACAAGGAAAAAAAACAATATTAATAATCTCATGACCCAGAAATAGCATCTCTTAACTTTTCTTATTCTTTTTCTTCCCTCCTTTTTTTTTTTTTTTTTTTTTTTAAGAATTATTTGATTTAACTTTGTTTATTTTTAATTTGACCAAAGAGGGACAGAGTGAGAGGGAAATTGAGAAAGCAGACTGCCAGGTCTGGGATTTGAACCATGGTCAGCCATGTGGGAGTCCAGGGCCACTAACTGCCATGCCACCTGCTGGCCCCTCTTTTCACTTACTTTCTATGCATATATATACATTTGATGTACGTAAGATTGTATGTATTTATAATTTTATGTCTGGCTTTTTTATTAATATTATGTCTTGACTTTTACCACTTATTAAATATTCTTTGAACAAATGAGTTTTGAATGCTTATGTAATACCCTGTCATATGAATATTTTAAACATTCTTGTACATCTCTTCAACTTTTCTTTTTATAAATAATGTCATATAATTAGCCTCTTTTTTTTTTTAAGAATTATTTTATTCAACTTTATTTATTTTAATTTGACCAAAGAGGGACAGGGGTGAGGGGAAATGAGAAAGTAAGCTGCCAGGTTCAGGACTCAAACTGTGGTCAGCCATGTGGGAGTCAAGTGTGCTTAACCACCACGCCACCTGCCAGCCCCTATAATTAGCCTCTTTATATCAAATCTCTTGTCTATTTCTGACTTTCTTTCTTTCTTTCTTTTTGGAGAGGTTTTTGTTATTGGATGCATGCACTTGCCCAAAAGACCAGAGAGAGAGAAAGCGAGAAATCACCCACCAGGGGGATGGCTACACCACAATCCCTTCTCCTCCATTTTCCTCTCGGGATCTTGGGCATGCATGCACATGCTCCTGGCATGAGTTTAAGCCACCAGGTCTGGGACTCAAACCGTGGTTGACTACATGGGAGTCCAGCGACATGGCCATTATGCCAACTGCTGGTCCCTCTGACTTTCTTTAGAATAAACTCTGCAAGAACTGGTAAATAATACAGGGTTTTTTTTTTTCCTTTTCTTTTTAAATTTTTGTTGTAGGGCACACACAGAGACAGAGACGGGGGAGGTAGATGAGAAATTACCCTCCCTGGCGGGGATGGCCACACCACAGTCCCTTCTCCATTCTCCTCTCGGGATTTTGGGCATGCACGCACACGCTCCCAGTAGAATTTTCTTTGTTCCTTTTTTTTAAAGAGCTTTCAGCCACAAGCTGCGTGCAGTTGCCTGAGAGAGATACAGACAGACACAGTGAGAAAGTGAGAAATCTCCCCCATTGGGGGATGGCCATCCTGCAGTCTCTTTTCCATTCTGGGATATCGAGCACATGCCCATTGTGATTTTCAAGCCACCAAATCTAAAAATGGAACCATAGTTGGCTATGTGTTACACCCTCTGCTGGCCCTATCCCAGTGTGATTTTCAGGCTGGATCCAGGACTCGAATCACATAGTCGGCTATATGGGATCCGTCACCTTCACCTCCATGCTACCTGCTTGCCCCCTAAGAAATAGAATATTTTCTTAAGGCTTTTTTTGTGTGTGTGTGTGTTTTATATATATTGTTAAATTTGTTTCTAGAAAGGTTATCTAGTTTGTATTTTCTTTTTCTTTTTCTTTTTCTTTTTTTTTTTTCCTTAGGTTTTTTTATAGGGCACGTGTGCTCTCCAGAGAGAGATGGAAAGCGAGAAATCACCCCCCAGGGGTATGGCCACACTGCAATTCCTTCTCCTCCATTCTCTTCTCAGGATTTTGTTCACACCACACACATGCCCCCTAAGTTTTAAGCCACCAGGTCCAGGGCTTGAATCACAATCAGCTACATCTAGTGATGTAACTATTACACCATCTGCTGGTCCCTGTAGTTTATATTCTCATTTACTGGAAATGAAAAATCCTCCAAACATAAAGATTTATGACATTGCTCCAATGTGAGTGGAAAATAGTACCAAGTGCTTCTGTGTGCTAGGCACTGTGCCAAATGTTTTACATACAATAGCCCAGTTAATTTTCCCCATAACCATATGGAATAAATAATTTGATTACCCTCACTTTACACTAAAACACTGAGAAATTAAGTCACACATCTATTTACAGGCAGAGGTGGGATTTGAAGCCAGGTATTGAGGCATCAGAGTCTTCTTTTAACTATTCTATTCTTTATTAAAAAAAATATATGTTTACTGGGGCAGGCAGGTGGTGTGGTGGTTAAAGGCACTGGATTCCCACATGGCTGACCACAGTTTTGAGTCTCAGACCTGGCGACTTGCTTCCTCGCTTTCCCTTTCTTTTTCCCTTTCTCTCTCTGTCTGATCAAATTTAAAAATAATAATAATAGCAAATAAAATTAAATAGATAAGTAATTCATTTTTAAACATATGTTTATTCATTCTTCTATGAGCAAGAGGCACCCACAACAGGGTACTCACACCGCAGTCCACTCCTTGCTCTAGCGGCCTGCAGATCACTGACATGCACACATCTGTCATGTCAGATCTCTGGATGTGAACCCAGAACCTTTCTATGTGGGCCAGCCTCACAGAGCAATGCCTTACTACTTCGCCACCATCTCTTCTATTTTTCTTGTATATAGAGCTTGCCAGTCTTTGACATCATGGTTTACACACCAAAAATATAGAGATTTCTATAGTGTCTTGGGATAAATACAAGATGATGCTTGTTGAAGGACAATAATTGGCAGGTGTCTTTGAATGCAATGTACCCAGATCCCCATGTTACTTTTCTGAGAGCTGACACAATTAATACCCCATTGTCAGCACACTGGTTAGGAAGTTCTGCTTTACAATAGAATGAGCCTTTAAAATTTTAAATAAATAGTAACATTGACACATGTAAGTTCACTAATTCCTTCTATAGGTTTAGGTTAAGTATATTTGTAGTCAAAGCTACTTTTTCTCCCCCCCTTTTTAAAAGTTCATTCTTGTTCTTGAAACGTGTATGTGTAGAGAGAGAAGGGTACCCTCAATGGGGTCTTCTCATGCCACAAGTCCTTTTTCACAGCCCTCAGCTCCTCAGGGTCTTAGGCAAGCATGTCTTTTTGTAGAGTTATGCAGTTCCTGCCATACTTATTTTTTAAATTAAAGAATTCAAGTATTTCTGGTAGTGGTTTATTCTCTGTAGATAATTTAAGTATTTTCTTCTTAAAGCTGCTAGTACAAGCTGGCTTCAAGAGCATGTGGCGGATCTTAGTCGAAGGTAAGATGTTATGGAGTTTCATAATATGCATAATTTGAAAAGAATACACAAGAACTTTATCTGTCATTGGAACTTACATCATTCACTGCTGAGCTTACCTCTTTTTTTTTTGTAAAAAATTATTTTATTTAAGTTTATTTATTTATTTACTTATTTTTTAATTTGACCAGAGAAAAACAGCGAGAGACAGAGAGAAAAAGAGAGAGAGAGAATGAAAAAGCAAGCCGCCAGATCCAAGACTTGAACCGTAATCGGCCATGTGGGAGTCCAGTGCCCTTTACCACCACATCACCCGCTGGCCCCTAAGCTTACCTCTTGAATCACACAGACCAAATTCTTATTCTTTATTTTTTCTTACTTTTTTATTTAAGGGAACTAGGCTTTTCAAAAATTATTTAAATTTTATCATTCTTATTTTTTAATTTGATCAGAGAGAGACAGAGAGAGAGAAGGAAAGAGAAAACAAGCCACCAGGTCTGGGAGTCAAACAGTGGTCAGCCATGTGGGAGTTCAGTGCCTCAGCCACTACACCTCTTGCTGGCACCAATTTTTTCTTATTTTTTAAACTGGTAATTTAAAAAAAAAAAAGTGAAAGAGCCATGTTTTCGAGTTCTTTTTTGCTTTCTTTTTTTAATTTTAAAACTACTTATTAAATTTTATTTATTTGTTATTGTTATTTTTAAAATTTGACCGGAGAGGGGCCAGCAGGTAGCATGGTGGTTAGGGGTGCTGGATTCCCACATGGCTGATCACAGTTCATGTCTCAGACCTGGTGGCTTGCTTTCTCATTTTCATTCTTTCTCTCTCTGTCCCTCTCTGGGTCACATTTAAAAATAAGCAAATAAGTAAATAAAGTTAAACAAAAATAATTCTTTTTTAAAAAATTTGATCAGAGACAGAGGGAAAGTGAGAAAGCAAGCTAGCAGATCTAGGACTCAAACCATGGTTGTTCCAGTACCTTAACCACCACTCCACCTGCTGGTGTCCTCTCTTTGCTTTTTTTAATAGCATATTGTAGGATACTAAAATACAAGGTTTTCATCAGTCTTATGTGAATTTTACTAATGAATACCCTTTTCATTTGTATTTTCATAGCTTGTGTGGAATTATTCCGGGACTTAGCAGTATCTTCCTTCCCAGAATGAATCCATTTGTTTTGATTGATCTTGCTGGAGCGTTTGCTCTTTGTATTACATATATGCTCATTGAAATTAAGTAAGTATTTTTTCTTGCTGTGAAGTGTGTTTTAATTCCAGGGGCCTGACTTTTAAAGGCATTAGCAGAAGGGATAAGGTTAATTTTCTAGCATTTTTTGCTTATAACTTATGTAACTTTGCTCAAGTCTGTCCTCAGATCTTCATTTGAAAAATTAAGGGAATTGGGTTCAGTAAGTATTTCTTATCAGAATGTATAAGGCAGACTGGAAAACAGTTTCACTTCCCTTGTACTGACCTGATGAGTGAAACGGGAAGAGAAGAGTAAGAGCTTTAAGCCCAACTTCTATTGCTGAGAGAGGGAGGAAAGAGAAAGTAGAAGTGAAACAATTTTTTAAAATAAAGCCTCTTAAGAAATAGACATTATTGGGACCAACAGTTAGCGTAATGGCTATGTCGTTGGACTCCCATAGAGTCGACTGCAGTTGGAGTCCCAGACCTGGTGGCTTAAACTCATGCCGGGCGTGTGTGCGTGCGTGCCCAAGATCCTAAAAGGAGAATGGAGGAGAAGGGACTGTGGTGTGGCCATCCCCCCAGGGGGTGATTTCTCGCTTTCTGTCTGTCTGTCTCTCTCTCTTTCTGGCAAGCACACGTGCCTTATAGCAAAAACCTGTCCAAAAAAAGAAAAAGGAAAAAAAAAAGAAATAGACATTATTTAGCTGCTTTAAGCTTAACATTTTATGACATGTGATTCTGTAGCTACCTACTCTTTACTAGTTTTTACTAGAATCTGTCCTTAGTTATTTATTTCTCTTGCTTTATTTACATTTTCTCCTAAAAATATAATTACATACCATGGGATTCCGTGGGATCCCCAAATCTATTTCTAGCCCAGTTCTCTGTTGCAAAAAGCATATCTTCATGCACAGACTTCTGTCTGTTCATGTCTGTCTCTACTGAACCTATTTTTCCCTGTTTTTGAAACTGTCTTTTCTTATATCTCATATCTCAGTGGATGCTACAATTATCTATTCCAATGTATTATTTTTAAAAAATTCTTTAAAATATACAAAAGATTTATCTTTTTAACCATGTTTAAGCATACAGTTCAGTGGCATTAAGGACATGCACATTTTTATGCAACCATCACCATCATTCATTTGCAGAACTTTATCATCATCCTTAACTGAAACTCTACACATTAAGTAAAATTTCCCATTTTTCCCTTCTCATAGTCACTGGCAATTACCATTCTAGGTTGTCTGTATGAATTTGACTACTCTAGATAGCTTGCACAAATGAAATTATGTACTATCCGTTCTTTTGTGTCTGGCTTATTTCACTTAGCATAATGTTTCAAGGTTATCCATGTTGTAGCATGTGTCAGAATTTCCTTCCTTTTTTAGACTGAATAACATTCCATTGTTAAATATATACCACATTTGGGAACCAGCAGTTGGCATAATGGCTATGTCGCTGAACTCTCACGTAGTCGACCGTGGATCGCGTCCCGGACCCGGTGGCTGAAAACTCACTCCGGGCGCGTGTGCGTGCATGCCCAAGATCCTGAGAGGAGAATGGAGGAGAAGAGATTGTGGCGTGACCATCCCCTCTGAGGGGTGATTTCTCGCTTTCTGTCTCTCTGTCTCTCTCTGTCTGTCTGGCAAGCACACGCACCCTATAGCGAAAACCTCTCCAAAAATAAAAATATATATATATACACACACACACCACATTTGTTTACCCATTTACCCATCAGTAGACATTTGGCTTATTAGACATTATTTCTTTATTTTTGGCTACTATGAATATTGATACTGTGAACACTGGTGTTTACAGAACTGTTTGAGTCCCTGCTTTCACTTCTTGGGAGTATACACCCAGAAGTGTAATTGCTGGATCATATGGTAATTCTAAATTTAGGGGTTTTGTTTGTTTGTTTTGCTAGCAGACATGAGTGCTTACTATAGAGACAGAGAGCAGCAGAAAGCACCATCAGTGGGCTATGGTCATGCCATAATCCCTTCTCCTCTGTTTCTTCTGTCGCGATTTTAGGCACTCATGCACGTTTGCCCAGCATATTTTTTTCAAACCTCCAGGAGTAGATTCAGAATGCAGTCAGCATTCTGAATGTGGGATTTAGGTCTTTTCACTACCAGCCTGCAGGGCCAGCTCACTGTATTAATTATCTGATGAACTCCAATGTATTATTACTTACTTACTTATTTGTCCCCTCTTTCCCATTCTCATTGCCTGTTAAGACCTTTATCGTCATTTCTTTGCTCTAGTTAGAATGGTCTTCAGATCTTCTAATTTGTGTTCACACCCATCACTGATTATATTCTATCTTGCTTTTACTATGATCGTTGAAAATTGCCAATGCGGGCATAATATTTTCCAATTTCAAAAGACTCCCCTTTGTATATTTGTAAAAATTAAAAGTTGTTAGCAAATTAAAAGTTCTTTGTGTGGAGTTCTGTCCCATCATGCCTCTGCTACTTTACTAGCCATCCATCCGTCTACACCTAAGTGTGGGTTCATTGCTGCATGAGGATTTTCATGCTCTTGCAGCTGTCGCTTTCACTGTCTGGAATATATTTCTTCCATTAACTTGCTCATGTTTAAAGACTCAGTGCAAACATCATCTCCTCTTTTTACAGTATGTTGAGCCTTCTGGAGTATCCCCACTCCAGTAGCCTTGTCACTCACGTCTCTATGCATCTGTAGTACCCTGTAGAGAGTTTTCCTTTAGTACCCATAGTGCTTCATTATGTTTGTCACACATGTACCTCCTGCTCTCCTGGGAAGGAACTTTATCTTACTCATGTTTCTATTCATGTTTACCAGCTTGTAAGGAAAAAAGTTAAAAAAAAATAATAGTAAAATGGGGACCAGCAGGTGGCATAATAGTTACACTGCTGGACTCCCACGTCATTGACCGTGATTTGAGTCCCAGACCCGGTGGCATAAAACACACACTGGGCATGTGTGTATGCGTACCCAAAATCCCAAGAGGAGTCTGGAGGAGAAGGGATTGTGGTGTGGCCATCCCCCTTGGGGGATGATTTATCTGTCTGTCCAGCAAGCACATGCACCTTATAGCAAAAATATCTCTCTCAAAAAAAAGGGTACGTGATTAACTTATACAGTTTGGCATTTTGGTAGTTTTGTCTGTTTGATGAATAGCACAGTCTGAACTATTGATAAGATGTTGCGCTTCAGCCACAAAGCCGTTATAATAAACTCCTTGAGATTCCTGGGGAATTTTGAAAAAGTTTATTGGGAAGCATTATTGTTTATAGGAAAATTGATAAAAATCCCTGAAAATCATGTATCACAAATTACTAGTTGAAGTTTTGTTGTCTTGGGCAAATCAGTATCATTGAAATTGTATTGTCAAGTATGTTGACTGAAAAATACATAATGGAGAAGTGCTCACATTTTTTTCTTTTATCCCTTTCATATTAATGTAATTATTATTCTTAAAGTACATTTTGACAGAAAGGAATTCTAAAACCTGGGGTTTTCTTCCCTCTGAGATGTTCATTTTCCAGAAGAGTGATTAAAAAATTCTGTGGCTTTGGATAATTAATGTTTAGTAGGGTGAACTGTAGGTGTCCAGTGAGATGCACATTTAAGATTCATTGTTTTCTCCTTTCAGTAATTATTTTGCTGTAGACACTGCCTCTGCAATAGCCATTGCCCTGATGACTTTTGGCACTATGTATCCCATGAGTGTGTACAGTGGGAAAGTACTGCTTCAGGTAAGGTTTTTCTTTGAATGTACATGCGTAATACTAGACATGTTCTCCTACCAGATTTTAAAAAAAGCCAGATATGTTCTTCTACCAGATTATGTAAATTTTTAACTACTGGGAGGGCCCAGTTGGAAATGGAGTAAGGGGGACTAACAGATGGTGTAATGGTCACTGGACTCCCACGTAACTGACTACAATTTGAGTCCTGGAACTAGTGGCTTAAAACTTATGCTGGGCACATATGCATGCATGCCCAAAATCCCAAGAGGAGAACAGAGGAGAAAGAATTGTAGTATGACTATCTCCCCTGGGGGGGATGGTTTGGTGGTTTCTCGCTTTCTGTCTCTTTGTCTCTCTGGCAAGTGCACATGCCCTATAGCAAAAAAAAATCTCTAAAACAAAAAAGAAAGAAAAGAAATGGAGTAAGGGGCCAGCAGGTGGTGTAGGGATTAAGGCACTGGACTTTCACGTGGCCAACCTCGGTTCAAGTTCCAGACTCTGCTTCTTGAAACTCAGGCTGGGCACGAGTGTGCACGTGCCCAAGATCTCAGTAGAATGGAGGAGAAGGAATTGCAATGTGACCATCCCCCCAAGGGGTGATTTCTCATTTTCCATCTCTCTGTCTCTCTGCCTCTCTGGTGAGTACATGCGCCCTATAGCAAAAATATCTTTAAATTTAAAAAGTCAAACCATAATCTCTGAAATTTGCATATTAAGAACCACATTAAATTCCACTGGCCTGCAATTTGCACAAACCCTCTTGTATTTGTAACGTAACATAACATTGTGAATTTAAAATTATTTGCCTCTGATGTTTCAAGTGAAAACATTACTTACCTTTTTTTTTAGATATCTTTTTCCTCTGTGAATGCAGTTTGGCTGTTCTTTAATCTCATAATAATTGTTTTCTTATTTCCTATCATTGGATCAGTGTGAGTTTTTAATTTCTTTTTTTTTTTTTTGCCATAGGGAAAAGTAAGAAATCACCCCCTAGGGGGTATAGCCATGCCGCAATTTTTTGTCCTCCTTTTTCGTCTAAGGATTTTGCACACATATCTTAACACACGCAATGTGATTTTCTTTCCTTTTTTTTTTTTTTTTTAAAAAAAGAACTATGTTGTATTTAATTTAATTAATTAATTTATTTCAGATTGACCAGAGAGGTCAGAGAGAGAGAAAGTGAGAAAGCAAGCTGGAGTGTCGGGATTCCAGCTGCTATCTGCCATGTGGGAGTCCAGTGCCCTTAACCACCACACTATCTGTTAGCTCCCCCACTGTGATTTTAAAGCCAGCAGTCTGATACTCTAACCATGGTCAGCCATATGAGAGTTCAGTGCCTTAACTACCACACCACCTGCTGGCCCCTCGACCTTAAAATTTTGAATATCCAAATTGCTCCTTATTGAAACAATAGGAATTCCTGTAGACACATCCCAGAATAGAAAGGTAGTGTTCCAGGGGTGGATGTGTTTGTAAACATTGTTGTTCCTTCTGTCTTTCCATTGTGCTCTTTTAAAAACTTGGAGGAGTAGTTCTATCCCTCCAGAAGCAATGATAACAAGAAGATAATAGTTGCATAATGCTGTGCCCTATACAGAAATGCAGCATGTATAACTATTTCTTGAAGATTTTTATTGTTGGTTAGTTGATTCTTTAAGTCACGTTTAGTTATAGAAATTGCAGTTTCTTTGTGTGATAAAAAAAATGAGTATGAGTCCTGGCGAGCACATGTGCCCTATAGCAAAAACCTCTCCCAAAAAAAGAAAAAAATGAGTATGGACTGATTCATGATGTTGCCCCACCAGTGGGACCAGCTGAAACCTTCCCCAATTCATTATAGGTCATATGTCAAAGCAAATGCTGGTTTAAATTCCATTTGTGTATGTTTGTGGGGTTTTTTTTGGGGGGGAAGGTGGAAAACTTCTTAGAATTTAAAAAAGTTCATTTCTTTGGATTTCAGGACCATTTTTGAACATTTCCCCCCCTCCCCCCAGTTATTCATATTTTATTTTCTTTCCTTAGACAACACCACCCCATGTTATCGGTCAGTTGGATAAACTTATAAGAGAGGTAAGATGGAAAGTAAATAAAATCATTTTAATTTATATGAGGGAATTGAAAGGATAGGTCCATCTAACATTTTATTCAACCCTAACTAGACTTTTAGTTTAGGAAAATGGTTCTGTTCTTTGTACTAATGCAGGAGGAACTAAAACATAGTGATAAAAATAGAAGAATTTGAGCAATTGCTCACTTTGGAAGCCAAATTCACTTGAGGGCAATGTGGAAAGTATTAGTCCAAAAACCATCTTATCCACTGTATAAATGCTGTGGTGTGAGTCTATATTTGAACCTAGGACTTTGATGAAGTCAAAGGCTACTTTTTTATATGTTGATTGCCTCACCATGTAACTTCTTGATCTTTGGGTTTAAACTTTCTATTGTTACAAATTTTTACCTGATAACAAATAAAGAAATAAAAGAAATGAGTTATTTGTATGTTGAGATAATTTTAAACACTTGGCTATCAGTATCACAAGGCCCCACTATCAGTATAACAAGGTCCCTTGTACCAATATAGCTGGTTACTTGTCTCTGCTAGTGAAGCCAAGGGCCTGGGTATGTCTCCTGTGCTGTTATACCAATGGGCCACGTACTGCATCTCCAGTCTTGGAATTTCCTGTTGGCAAATAGCTAAATAACATCCTGTGTTGGGCAGAGGTTTGTTGTAAGGGAATCCAGAGAAAGAAATGATCAAGACAGAAAAAAAGGAATCTCATACCAGATGTATTATGGCATATAACTAAGTGCCATATTGATAAAATGGAGAGAACTATATCCTGTTGAAGAAATAGGGAGTGTGGGGAGGTTAAGACTCAGCATCGAGCCCTGATTCTAAAAGGACTGGGGCAAACAAGAGCTGAGAAAAAAAGGTCTTGGGAAAGTATTGACTTTTGAATGATATCTCAAGTTACCTGGGATTTTTCTTGACTAGAGAGAGTCCTTGTGCAGAGTTTGGTCATGTCATTTACACTTAGAGCAAGTTCATAACGTGACTAAATTGTGTTGTGTAAAATATAGACAACCCTGATAACATATTTTTGTTTTTCATTAGGTGTCTACCTTGGATGGAGTTTTAGAAGTTCGAAATGAACATTTTTGGACCCTAGGTTTTGGCTCATTGGTATGTTTTCTACGTGTTACTTTATTTATTTTTAATTTTTTTATATCTTTTTCATAAGGCATGTGCACTCACCAGAGAGAGACAGAGACAGAGAAAAGGAAGGCGAGAAAGCACACACCAACCCCCCACCCCCACCCCGAGGAGGACGACCCTGTCACAATCCCTTCTCATCCATTCTCCACTTAGGCTTTTGGGTGCATGTGTTTTTCAAACTGCTAGATCTAAGACTTGAACCTTAGAGTTGGCCATGTGGGATGCAGTGCCTTAATCACCATACTACCTGCTGGCCCCTATATTCTCTTTTTTCTTGTACTATCTAAGAGTTGGCTTCAGTTTTTTGTTTTTGTTTTGGAGAGGTTTTTGCTATAGGATGCATGTGCTCGCCAGAAAGACAGAGAGAGAGAGAAAGCGATAAATCACCCCCCAGGGGGGATGGCCATGCTGCAATCCTTCTCTTCCATCTCCTCTCAGGATCTTGGGCACGCACGCACACGCGCCAGGCAGTAGGCTACATGGAGGTCCATTGACATACCCATTACGCCATCTGCTGGTCCCAGCCTCGATTTTTTTCTGTTGATCATCTTTATGTAAAATTATTTTTCCTAAACTTTAAAATTAGGAGTAGTTACAACAGTGTATATAAATGCATAGTCTAGAGCTCCCTGTTTTGATGGTTTTGTAAAAGGAAAGTTTTTTCTTTCTCTTGGCTCTGTTTCTTACCCCATTTCTATTTGAACCTTGTCTTGCCCTTTATCTCTACTGTGCTGCTCAGTTTGGATTATTTTCCTGTTGTTTCTTTTTAATGTGGTACTTTGTCCTAGAAGAGAGTTTTGCTTTATTACTTTTTTTTTTAGACGTTTTTGCTATAGGGCACGTGCGCCCACCAGAAAGACAGAGAGAGACAGAGAGACAGAAAGCAAGAAATCACCCTCAAGTGGGGATGGCCACACCGCAATCCCTCCTCCTCCATTCTCCTCTCGGGAACTTGGGCATGCACGCACAGAAGCCCGGCCTGAATTTAAGCCACTGGGTCTGGAGCTCGAACCGCAATTGACTACATAGGAGTTCAGTGACATAGCCATTATGCTAACTGAGAGTTTATAGAACTCAAGGTGTGCCAGCCCATTGCAGACCCCCTGTGCTTACCTACTATCAAAGTGTGCAAAACCCCTCCCATTTCAGTAGCTTTTCTCAAATTGACTGTCCTAGGTTTCCATGAAGTACCAGGTAGCTGCTTTGGGGTTTTTAGGTCAGTCATATGCCCCGTTACTTTCTTCTGCTTCCTCTTGTACAGATTATGAGACCGTGGCAGGAATTATAGCTTATTTTTAGGGCCTCATAGGGGTACCATGTTACCTAGCTTTTTGTAGATGTTGTCCATAGATTTTCAGTTTTGCTGTCTTTGTTTAATCTGTTTTTTTTTTCCTAAAGAATGGTTTATTGATTTCATTCCATTTGTTATTGTTCGTTTTTTTTTATTTGACCACCAGAGAGAGAGAGAAAGGCAAAGTGAGAAAGCAAGCCACCAGGTCCAGTACTTGAACCATGCATGGTCAGCCATGTGGGCATCCAGCGCCTTTATCCGCCACACTGCCTGCTGGTCCTGTTTAATCTGTTTTTATGGAGATATTTGGGGTAGTTCAAAAGCTGCCATCGCAAATGCACATACCGTATCTCAGTACCCTAAAAGACAAAAACAAAATAAAACAAAACAAAACCTAAGAAACAGTGGGTCAGCTAGTGTCTAGGGAATGAGAATAATGAAGAAAAGGGGAACATAGAACAAGTATGGGTAAAGGTACAAAATTCCAGTTAAATGGGAAGAATGTGTTCTTGTATTCCATGGCATACTAGGGTGAATGTAGTTAAACAATATATCTTAAAAATGTAAAACAATTTATAATGCTTCTAACCCAAATCATAAATATTTGAGGTGGTCTGTATGCCGTTAACCTGATTTGATCATCACACATTGTATTTATGTTTTGAAAAATCACACTGAACCCTATAAATATGTATAATGCCTATGCATCAGTTATTTTTAATAATGTACCCTGAGAAGATTCTGGAAATACATTGCTGTGGAACAGTGCTCATAGTACAAAGTAAGGCTGCATACCGCATAATATAGACTTGTGAATTTAATGGAGATTAGCAGATCCCCTAGTGGTAAACAGGGTAAAACTTAGAATGACTCTGTACCTATTTGGTGTCAACAGTTCTTTTAAAAAATATATATATATTTTTAAATGAGAGAAAGAGAGAGGCACCAAGACCTTTCCCATATGCCTTCCCCAACTGTGCAACAGCACACAAAGTTCCTGTGCCTGTGAGGCTGAGCCAAGTGTCTATTGTTAACCTATGAATTTAAATAATCTTCTCTTCTGTAGTTAAAATTTCCAGTATCTTTAATAGGGAGTATTTTTTTTTTACTTGGGGAAATATGGAGATGTAAGACCTTTGTGTTACACAGATATGGTTTGATGTCTGTTGGTGATGAGGTGTATAGTAGTCTCAACTCGTCTGCTGTGTGGTGTATATCATGTTGGGTAAAAGCTCTTTGGAAACTAAATGATGTATACTGATTTAATGTATAAATAATATTAATAAAAATTCAAAAAAAAGAAAAAAAAAAGCTGCCATCATAGGGACCAGCAGTTAGCGTAATGGCTATGTCGCTGGACTCCCATGTAGCCAACTGCGGTTCAAGTCCCGGACCCGGTGGCTTAAACTCACACTGGGCATGTGTGTGTACGTGCCCAAGATCCCAAGAGGAGAATGGAGGAGAAGGGATTGTAGCGTAGCCATCCCCCTTGGGGGGTGATTTCTCCCGTTCTGTCTCTCTGTTCCTCTTTGTCTCTCTGGTGAGTACACATACCCTATAGCAAAAATCTGTCTGAAAAAGAAAGAAAAAGAAGAACTTTGGGCTAGCCAGTGGTGTGTTGGTTAAGGCTGATCTCACATGGCCTGAATGCACAGTTTGAGTCCTGGACCTGGCAGCTTGAAAACCATGCTGTGCATGTGTGCTTATGTGCCCAAAATACAGAAAGGAGGGGGAAATGGAGGAAAAAGGATTGTGGCATGACCATCCACCATGGACGGTGCGTTCTCACTTTCTCCTTTCTCTCTTTCTCTAGTGAGCATATCTGCCCTCTAGCAAATTAAAAAAATAAAAATAAAAAAGCTCATAACTAAATCAAAAAGAAGAGAGTAAAAATTCTTAATCTGCCATTTAGAGATAACTGCTGTCATTTTTGACATTTCTCTGTGTAAGTTCTAACTAAAATAGGATAAGTGCTATACCTACTATTTTATTATCTATTTTAAAAGCATTGTGTGTATGTATGTGTGTATGCATATACCACCTGCTGGCCCCAACATATATGTGTGTGTGTGTGTGTGTGTGTATATATATTGGTATAGTGGATTCCTGTGTGGCCAATTGTTCAAGCCCTAGACCCAATGGCTTGAAAGTCATGCCAGGTGTTTTGTACATGTGTGTCCGAAATCCCAAGAGGAGAAAGATTGCTGTGTGGCCATCCCTCACAGGGGTGATTTCTCACTTTCTGTCTCTCTGGTGAGCGCACAGGCTATAGAAAAATTTTCTCAAAAATAAAAACAATAGTTGGGGCCAGCAGGTGGCGTGGCCTTTGGAGCTGTTGGACTTCCACAGAGCTAACCCCAGTTCAAGTCCTGGACCTGGCAGCTTACTTTCTCAGTTTCCCTCTTTCTCTCTCTCTTTCTCCCCCGCCCCTTTCTCTCTGGTGATTGTGCATGCCCTATAGCAAAATTTAAAAATAAAAATAATAGTAATAAAATTAAATCTTTTTAAAAAAGTATATATAGTAAACACCTATTCAAGTTAATTAGTTCGTTTCTGATTATCATTATAATGCCTGATGTTCTCTATCCTCTAATAATCAAGACTAGAAACCTGGAAATAATCTTCGATGAATCTGTCTCTCTTATCCACTATTGCTAGTCAGATATCAAGTTTCCCAGTGCTGCCCCTGGTTAGATGATGAATCCATCTGTCCCTCTGATCCCACTACTTTGTCCTAGCGTAGCTCTCCTCATTTGTAACATGACCATTGGAATCATTTCCTAACTGATAACTGATTTTCCATAGAATTTTTCTGAAGTATGATTTTTTTCTTTTTAATTCTTTAATCTTATTTGTTATTATTTTTAAATTTGCTATATGGCACATATGCTCACCAGAAAGAGACAGAGAGAGAGACGGAAAATGAGAAAGCAAGCCACCAGATCCAGGACTTAAACTGTGGTCAGCATGTAGAAGTCCAGCACCTTAACCACGATGCCACAAACTGAACCCCCTCTTTTAATTTTTTTTCAATTGCTCCTGTTAAATCGAACTCCTCATCATTTTAGGGTCCTCTGCTAGCCTTTATAACTTATTACCTCCCTTTTTTATCTTCTTTCCTTCCTTCCCTCCCTTCCTCCCTCTTTCTCTTTCTTCTTTTTCTCTCCCTTGAAATTTTTTTTCTATATTAGTATAATTGCTTTTTCTTTTCTTTTCTTCTTTTTTTTTTTTTTGAGAGATTTTTGCTATAGGGTCTTGTGCTTGCCAGAATGAGAGAGACAGAAAGCAAGAAATCACCCCCTGGGGGGGGTGGCCACGCCACAATCTCTTCTCCATTCTCCTCTCCGGATCTTGGGCAGTGAGGCACACGCGCCTGGCATGAATTTAAGCTGCTGGGTCCAGGACTCAAACCGCGGTCAACTACATGGGAGTCCATTGACATAGCCGTTACGGCAACTGCTGGTCCCAGTATAATTGCTTATTCTTACCATGAATGCCATACATTTTCACTGCCACTTTCTTGCGTGAATGCCTGTCTTCACTTTTTGAAGTTCTATTTACTCTTCAATTCTAGATCAGATGCCACTTTCTTTTAGTGTTCTTTAGTTGGAATTACCTCAGCCTCCTGGGTAACTGGTACTACAGGCCTTTATCACCACACCTGGCTTGTAGAGTAGGTTTGGAATCAGTCTTGAGACTCCTATGTCTAGGCATGCCAAGTAGTAGCATCAATTAGTGCGCACTACTGCAGCTGGGTCCGTCATATTTTTTGTATACGTTTTTTTTTCTTTTTTAGTTTGCTTCAAGTGCATTTGCTTGCCAGGGAGAGACAAGCATGGGGAGAGATGTACCCCCCCGTGGGGTGTAGTCACCCCATGGCAATCCCTTCTCCATTTTCCCACCATGTTGAGATTTGAACCAAGCACAGCACACATATCTGGTACTTCTTAAAAGAGTTTTTTGCCTTAGTGTGTGCACACTCCTTGGAGAGAGAGAGACAGAGACAGTGTGAGGGAAAATGAGAAATCACCGCCAGACGGGATGGCCATGCCACAATCTCTTCTCCACTCTCCTCCCAGGATCTTTGACATGCACACACATGCACCCAGCGTGATTTTCAAGCTGCTGGGTTCAGGACATGAACTGTGGTCAGCCATGTGACAGTACAGCAATGTAATTACTATGCCATTTGCTGGCCCAACATCTGCTACATTTTCCAAGCTACCACAGCCAGTATTTGAACCACACAGTTGGCTGTGTGGGATCTGGCTTTCTTAACTACCAGGCTATGAGGCCGGCCCAATTTTTCATATACTTACATTCTGCCTTGCTTCATAATGTTATTTCTATCTTCCTTCTTCATGAATCTCTCTCTCTCTCTTTTTTTAAAAGTATCTAATCATCACTGAGTAGCCTGTAAGAAATACCAGAGGATGGGGCCAGTCAGTGGCATGACCATTAAGGCACTGGATCCCCCTCTT